CATGACACATGATACTCCAATTTAGCTTTCTGTCCTTCTTTTTCATGTCAAATATTTGCTTTCCGTGGATCGAAGAAGAAGCATGAGACGGTGTTAGGATCTCTTTCTTTTTTCTCTCTCTTTCTCCTCTCTTTCTTTTTTCCCTTCGTTGTTAATATTTCCATTGAAATTGGCTACAATTTTTGGGGGTGCCGAAGGACTGGTAGACTGGTTGTAGAAATGCGGAGCTATTTAAGGGATACACTTTGGTCCTTTTGCTTTCTCTTCCTCCGATTGATAAGAATGGCTGTACAGGAAACTACTTACCTTGACTTAACGTTACATGGCTTTACGTACGTAAGGTCCTGCAATAGCCTTTCATCTTCGAAGAGTGAGCATGTACATGTACCATACTATAAGGTAGTGGATCTCATCGGCCACTCTAGCCTAGTAGCCAGTCACCATCCTACGCGGCGGGAATGGGTTGGCGCGAGAAAAGCAGCGAATGAACACCGGCCACGCCATAGCCGTGCACAGAGCTTACATTTACCTTTATACTAACTAAGGCACGAAACTCCCTCCCAGCCAGTCCCTTGGGCTCCGTGCCTGAAGTCCTTGTTCCTGTTCACTGTTCACTGTTCACCAATGGGGTGGAGGGGGTTTAGGTCGCTGGGAGCGTGGTGGAGGAGGGGGCGGGGGGGGGGGGGAGGGGGGATGCAGACATGATACCGATATGCAAGAAAATGGGCATATGGGCGGGCACATAGTCACGATCGACCAAGTAGACGAAGGAGGAAGGGAGGCAATCCACACCCCCGTATGTACAGTACAGTAGGTATGTACCATCAGTGTGGTACATACTTCCGTGGATTGGGGGGGGGGGGGTGGAGAGGAGTTCGTCACGGGAGCTGATAACATCCATTCCTGAAACTAGTTAAACTAAACTCTTTAGTCAGGCCGATAGATCTCTCCGGTTCAGCTGGCTGCCTGCCTGCCTTGTCGGAATGAGAGATGCTCGCTCACTCACTCGACTTTGGGGATTCTTTGGGCGTGCTATGGGATGAGATGGGGTTGAGTGGATGGGGAGCGGATGGTTTTTGTTTAGCTTATACGGGGGATATGTGTGTGTCCGTGTGTAGGCATAGTTGTGCGGAATGCCTTACAGGTTACGAGTAGGTAGGTAGGTAGATAGGTAGGACTCGCTAATCGTTGAGTTGGAAGAAAGCGGGGGTTTTGTGGAATGTGGCGAAGATGGAATTGGGAAAGGCACTGAGTTAAGGTCGTTGGGCAGTTGAATTGGTGTGCAATTGAAGTGCGGTTCAAGTCTATGGTGGTGGGTTTGAGAGCCTTTTGGAATTAGAGACGAAGATTGGGGACAGGTGTGGTCGTGGTGGTGTACATCATGGATAATAAGGTACAGTTAGTTGCAACCTTGTTGGTCTTGGCTTGTGTGCGAGGAGTTCTTCTGACGGAGAGATTAAGATTCGAGGCCGAAGAGACGGTCAGCATAAAGCAAAGCAAAGCAAAGCAAAGCAAAGCAAAGCAAAGCAAAGAGACAGGTCATTGCCATTCACTGCAGTGGATTGCCACAGCCACATCTGATGTGTGTGATTGGATGTATAGGATTTGTAGGCGACATGAAACCAGTCACACCCTCCCCGATCATTGGCGGTTGGCAGAGGATGAGGCCTGCGCTGCGTGGGCGAATGAGAATTCCCCGGGCTCCGTGTCTCAGTCAAGGAATGAAAGGGGATGAATGAATACTCGGAAATGACTTTGTGGTCTCAGAGGAATTCGGTGGTGGTCTGATGTACCCGGGAGGTACCTATCTAGTACAGTACTGACAAGTACGGTTGCTGCCCAAGTGGGATTGGCAGATGAGTGACGCCGCAACCGAAGTAAGTACAAGTAAGTAGTATCTTTAGATCCTGCGTCCATTGGTCATTGGTCCCATGCACGTCAACCTGCAGTTTGACCTGGCCATGAAAAGATCCCATTAAGTGATCGTCTTTGCACGGCTGCAGAGAAGCAGCAGCAGCAGCAGCAGCAGCAAGCAAGCAAGCTGCTTCTTCCTTCCTTTCTTTTTTTTTTCCTCTCCTCTATTCTTCCTTCTTCGCATCTCATCTATCTCCACTCGCTCTTGCCATTCTTTTCATCAGAACCTCTGCAACTCTGTCCTTCTCTTCATCTTCTATTAGACTATTCAGGTGCTGATAGGTAGTGCAATATGCTGATGGGCTGGTGAGAAGCAGGAGTGACTTGCTTGCTGTTTGCCCGCATATCCGATCTAGATCACTCTCCGGCACTGCTACATCTCGAACCGTTATCGGTCCATCTTGAGACATTCTGTCTCGCTTCGATCCGCGGTGCTTGTTGATACTCCGCTCATTCCGAAGGACAGCACTTGTTGCTGTTGGTGTAGGTGTTGGTGTCCTATCTTGTTATCGTCTCAATTGCACCGACTGGTGATGTCAACCGATTGAGAAGATCTGCACTTCCCCAATACCAGCAATCAACAGCTCTGAGTTCACATCTCCTTATTCTCTCATGTCCCGGGCGATTGTACTTCTTTCCCATTCATCTTCTATACTTGCCCTCGCTTGATCCCGGCCTAGATCAAGGCACGAGCCTCCGATCTACCATGGCGATGGCCCTCGACGTCGGCTCTCCCTACCATGGATCTCCGCACCACCCGGATACTATACACTATATATCGACATCAGCAGCCTCTGACCCTTTGCAGTTACTCGCCTCAAACCCCGCCATATACTCAGCAGGATACGCGGGCAACCTGTCACTACACAATTACCGCAAACTACTGTCAGACAGCGATCCTTTCATCGATGGCCACGACGGAAAACTCCTCAGACGGAAAAACGCCGCTCTGCATTTGAACCAGACCCAGCTCGATTCTGTTCCCCTAAGCACTCCCTTCTCCATGTCGTCTCCAGGGTCAAGTCCGCCGCCATTGTCGCCGTCCTACTCCCCGAGCGCGCGGAGCGACCAAGATCCGGACATGCCGCACGGGTTTGGCCGTAAGTAGACGACACCCCACTATTGCTCATCTGGTAGCGTGCCAGACTGGCTAACAAGTTGTCCAGTGTCACCAAATGTTGCTACGACTGCGCCGTTGAGCGCGCCGTTGAGCGCGCCGTTGAGCGCGACCTTTCCCAGAGAGAATCCGCACAGGCTTCTGGTAAGTAAGGTCCTGACAAAGCCTTGCATTCCCAACTGACGTAGGTATGCGATCAGGATACATTCCGGGACAGACTCGAGAGCTATCCCGAGCCAGGCACAGATCCGGAATGTTTCACCCGCAGGCACACTAGGACCCGCTCCGACTCCATCCTATGGAGCATGAAGAAAACCACAGCGACCATTGTTGATCACGGCACGTCATTCGAGATCATTAATCCGCACGAGTCGCTGAACTTTGCCCGGATCGTGTCCTTCATCGAAGATGTCGATGCCTATTCTCTTCGGGCATCCAGCGGCCATCATCGCGAGTCGTACATCGAGATGATTGATGAGACGGAAGTGGACCCTAGTCCTGAAAGCCAATCTGGGGATGACCACGCAAACCCGTCCTCGGAGCAGGATTCCCAGCAGGTTCACCACGAATTAGTTGGCGACTCGCCGCATCTTCCCATGCCGTCGATATCGGAGCGTCTGGAACGCGAGGACGCCGATGACATGGCCTCGAATTACTCGCGCTCGCCCGGTTGCACGCGTAAGCGACCGGCGCCGCTCAGACCGCGGGCCTGGACTGACGAGAGTGACCTTGGGGAGCCGGGCTCCCCGATCCGGGAAGATGGCGATTGTCGGTCTCACGTACAATTCCCACTGCCCACCCCTTCCCCTTACTCCCTAAGCGACAGTCATCCGACCTCCTTACCCGGTCCAGCGGCGGCCTACTATGATCTTAATCTTTGGTACGGACCCCATGGGGTCGACCAGAGTCAGGGTCACCCTCACCCACTCCATTCCAATCCAACCTCTCCACATTATCTCTGCCCATCCCCATTCATCTCCCATCTGGCCTTGCCTGAGCAGCAGGAGATCCGCATCCAAAGCGGTATTACCAAAATAACCGACCGTCGTAAGAAGAACGTCAAAGCGGGGAGCAGTGGGCCTCTGAAGCCCTTGAAGCGACTATATAACATGCTCCAGCGAAAGCGGCAGTGAATTTCTACCCATTCTTATTCATTCGGCCCTCCTCCCTAGTTTTTTGTGCCTAGCGTTGTTTCCTATTTGGCATTTGACACTCCCGGTCACATGCGCGAGCGCATGCCGTCATGGTTTTCTCTGAGCAAGGATTGTCTGTGTGTTCTATATTAGTTTGAGCGAATTGGGCCATTAGCCTACCCCTGCCTGTCCGTTTAGATTAGGGCCTTTGACAGGACCCAGCATTGTTTTTCTCATTGACAAGGGCATATATCAAATAGAGGTTGTGTTTGCCAGCACGGCGTGTACGTTTTAAGATGGTTCACATGCTATATATTAGCTTCTACTTTGGAAAGCGAAGACGGCGCAGTGGTGTGTGAATTTTTATGATGCATGAAGATGTGCGATTAAAGATATATAAGAAGAAGTGCCCTATAACCGAGTTTCGAGGGTCGCACCAATATGAATGCACCAAGAGACAAAAAACGAACAAAAGAATAGAACGTCCAAGGCAAACAAGCAGACAGTCTGGGTATCTTTCTTTCAATATGCACACAATGCACAAGCAATTCCAAACCCTGAAAGAAGATAGATGGAAATAGGAACAGAGATGGAGATGAAGAGCGCACAACCGGATATAGTACAAAAAAATGATTCAGAAAAGAGAAGTGAAGAAAAATGAAAAAAAGGAGAATGGAGAAAAGGGAAGAGTCGAAGCAGGTATCGTAGCGATGAATGGTATATACCTCGCTCAAGGATGCTGGACATATAGACCCCAAGAAAAGAGATACACGTTGGTTCTCGGGAAGAAAAGAGATACACGTTGGTTCTCGGGAGGACAGGAGACAAGCACGACCTTATTCAACCATCGAAGCCAGCGCCGCACTGACGAGACTCTTTCGTCGCAGCCCCTGCTCGCTCTTCTTCTGCAGGTCGCGGGTGGAGCCGAGCTGATAGCTCTTCTCGATCCGATGGGATGACTGCAGCGCGCTGACGCTGCTCTTTCTCCGGGAACGCGTGTATTCCGCCAGCGACGAGGATGATGGGACGGAGGAAGTGGAGGAGATCGATTCCGTGGCCGGGCGGAACCGACTGCCCCGCGACGCCGTCAGGGCGCGTCGGCGCGGGGACGACTGCGGCGGGAGCGAGCTGGGGTGCCAGTCGTCTTCACAGGTGGAGTAGCTGTGCGAGACGGCGGTGCGCAGGGCCTCGTCCTCGGAGATCAGGGCCAGGCGGATAGCCTCGAGGTCGGTGGGGTTGCAGTACTGCAGGCGCGAGATGTGTTGGCGCTGCGCGCGCATGGTCGTGTAATTTTGTTCCTGGTCGTCTGCGTTGAGATCCATTGGGGTCGTGTCGGTCGGGGAGTTGTAGCTGTCTGAGGCGGCGGGGGCGGAGGTCGGGTTCAGGTATGGAGAGGAGGATGACGGGGGGAACGTCGGCGATAGAGAGCCGGATGTGTGGGAATCATCGTCGAGATCCGTGTCGGGGGGTGTCAGGACGTAGCCGGGGAATAGTTTGGGGTTGTTGCTACTGAAATGGAGATCGGAGGGGGAGGTGGGGGAGATGGGCGCATCGGGGAAGCGGTCATCGCTGGGGATTGCGCCCGCAGTGCCGGACTGGTTTTGGAGCGTGTGCTCGTGAAGTTTCTTGGTGAGGGTGCTGATGGAGAAGCGCTTCTCGTATGCGGAGAAAGGGACGGAGGTAGGCGCTTGAGCCTGGCCCCGGGAGTAGGAGGATCGCGAGCGAGATAGGGTCCGGGGGAAGCGCTGCGTTGACGAGCGTGGTGACGGACAGCGCGAGGACAAGGGAGAGATTAATCCACTGTCATGGTCGAGAGTGAGGCGCTGATATTCTTCGCTGTCCAAGGCCAAGCGGGGAGGTCGAGTGGAGGAGGGAGATGAGAAAGAGAAGTCCTCGAACATGATGGCGACACCGCTGTGCGGGAAACGAGTGGAGGATAATCAAAAGTGGCACCGTTCTGATGTCCTGAATAGAAATAGAAGTAATTTCCTCGAGCAACCTGGGAAATTATGTGTTCCGAGACTGGATGGAGTTTAAAAGCGGTGGTGGTGGTGGTGTTTAGTGGAGGCTCAAGTTATCGAGACATGGGGGGGGGAGGATATACAAATGAACAGATAGGGGGGAAGAAGGCACGGCGGGTCGGAAGAAGAGATCGCGCGCGCGTTTGTGCCTGGTCCCGAGATTATAAGACTAGAGCAAAAGAAAAAAAAAGTCTGGTCCCACAGTGGCCAATTTTCTTTTTCGATTCTGATTCTGGAAGAGAGGGGCGGATTGTATTTCCTTATTTTCTCGCGTAAAAGAAAAAAGTAATAGCCATCACTAAGAGGGGTCGGACGGATCCAGCGCGTAAACGTAAAGGGAGGGCCGAACCTTGGATGATGGCGTGGGGTGGAAAAAACACAACAAGAGACACACACAAGTGGGCCAGATAAAAAAAACAGGAATCTTGAGAACGAGAAAGGAGAGACAGATAGGGGAGACTAGAGCAGTCGAGGCCCTGGGCCTCTTCAACCTGGAGGCATATCAAAGGGCTTTATAATTAAATTGCACCCCCTTTTTTGTGATTCTTCATTAATGAAATGAATTGAATAAGTCGGGGAAAGAAAGGATGAAAGATGAAACTGACGAAGGGAAAGGAATCAGTCCCATTTGACCGCCTGCTGCATTCGCCATTTTGCCCCGGATCAAATTCCGGCGGCGATTTGGGCCTTTTGGTCTTTTGGTCTTTTGGCCTCTGAAGAACTACTGTATCCCTTGTCAATAATACTATTATTTGATGAACACGAACTAGACTAATATCCTTTGCCTCAATATCCCTGTCATCCCAATGGCGACTCCGAAACCATAATTCCTGAGGAAATACGGAGTACAATACACATAAGTGGCATTCTCTCCGCTCTTCGCTCTTCGCCCTTCGCCCTCTCCGACCACCCTTGCTCATAGATCTCGATCGGAATTTCGCGAGATCAGGAAAGCAAAAGCCGATCATCCCCCAAACCGAAACAGAGACAGGGCAGGGCGTTATGTTCCCCCCATAGTCGCCACTGGGTGTGTACTCGAGTACTGAGTACTAGTAGTAATCTCGAACACGGCACCGATTCCTCCGGTCCCAGTCAAAGGCCTTCGATCAACCACGCCTGTCTTGGAGTCTTGGACCCTTGTCGCCACCAGCCTTAGCTACATTGGGGTGGAAGAAGCGTCTCCGTCGGTTCCCCCCTCCCCCCCAAGGCTCCAAGCTAAATTACGCTCTTCGTTCCGGCACTGAACCTAGTCGGAGATGTCCGTCCCTTTAGGTCTAGCGCATGTCAATCCATACAAGGGGCCCGGAGAATCTCTCTTCAGCTTCTCCGTCTTCCCTTCTTTCTTTCTCGGTCCGAGGATGAATGAAGATCTGTGACTCGTGAGAAGTTAAACCTAGTCTACGGCCGTCGAAACAGTCTCGACCCTTTCCGATCATTCCCCTGACATTTCGATCTGTCGTAAAACGGTTCCGTGACGAGTCATGCTTGCGGCTGGGCTTGGCTCTGAGTACTCCAATGGCAATGATCCTACCGGGGTTTGGACTACGGAGTATTTGCCGACAAAGAGCACTCACTCGCTTGTCCCGGTGCATTCACATACGTTACGGAGGATTGTTGTTGTTTGGGATCCATCACTCGCTAACGACTCTTTCTTTGTGAGTCTCCACGCACTGTGGGGGGGAAGAGGGGCCGGCGGAGGTGTCTGGCCGAGGTCGGCTTGTCGGAAAGAGTACTGAGTACTCCGTAGTCTACTCACTAGTGACGGCTTCATAAGTTATCTAAAGCGTAAAGAAAGCAAGTTTATTCGAGTGAAACTCGCTTTGGCCTTGTTTGACGCGTTCTGGGGATGGTTGACTCGCCCTGCTCGATGCTCGAAATATCAAGTCCAATGTCTTTGAGCGCTGTACATGCGCCAAAACAGTCCCCAGGCTTGGGATTTGAAAGGGAGGGTCATTCTGACCACCCTAAGGCTGGCCATCAGAAAAAAAAAAAAAAAGACAAGTATACGTATATGTAACTGCGTCAATGATGAGAGTTGAACGTCGGGCGTCGAGAACCCGCTGTGGGTCCATATTGCACGCGTACTGTACACGCGAGTCGCAACCGTATGCCTTCTGATGATGACATACTCGTCCTTCATCGTGTTCACGGGTCGCTTTCAGAGCGTCTGTGCTCGAGAGTCACTATGATTTCCAAGACAAAGCATCTTTCACCACATGTTCTTGTCTACGAGCATGAAGCTGAATACTGGGAAACAGGTATAGTAATGCATGAAGGATTAGAGATGAAAGCAATAGTAACTGATTTGCAAACTAATATGCCTCTATCAAAACTTCAATGTAGACTTTAAATTGCATTGCAAGAACTCCCAGCCCCAAATTGGCGTCCCGTCGCATTTTTCTAGGCTAAGGAGAGACTTCTCAGTGCCGCAGATGATCGATGATGGTAGAAACCTTGCCGAGTAAGGAGTAACTGACAGACGGCTTGATGACGTTGTCGTCGTCGGTGCCAGAGCTGCCAGCGCTGTCTGTGCCATCTCTCTTCGCCTTGGTCATAGAGTGGATTGTGTTCAAGGCGTCACCGGCAGGGTTGACTCTCTCAGCTGGGTGCTCATTCTGTGTGAACCGAGCATTGATCGATGCAATATCGACGGCGTGATCAGTCTGGAACGCGGCTGTAAGCGAGGGATACCGCGATGACAATCACATGGCGTGGTCCTACCTGGTTGGCGTCACGTTGCAGTGCCACTGGACTGGCTTCCACGAGAGAGATGGTCCAGAAGGCATTCAGGAGCAGCAGAAGACCCAATAGAGAGGCGTTGGAGCGAAGGGATGGCATGGTGATGCTTGGTCAAACTTAAAAAAAGAGGTGGCAAGGTTTGAAGGTCTTGAGTGACAAGGATTCGTTGTTCTAGTAAAGGACGAGGGCACGATCTGCGTTGAGCTCAATGGATTCGAATGGTTTGACTTCATGAGTGGCAAAAGAAGCCATCATTCGCCCTTTTTATAAACACCATCGCTGTCCGGAAACTGTAGATAGTTCGACTCAAGTTGAAGCTGAGTACTTCCTGAAGCGTTGACTATTACTCCTTTGAGGCAGGTGCAGCAGAGCAATGCACATACTCCTAAAATAACACCACGCTCGCTAAAGTTTCTTCAGGGCCGATCTTCCGGATGTGTGTTGACAGCCTTAGAATCGGAAAGGATGCGCATTGCTGAATAATGGTGGATGTGTATACTCGAGTATGCCCTGGCCGCATGCATGTCACATTCCTGCGGAAATCCAACTGCCGAGTGTATAGCCTCACGCGAGTCTAACTTCGTGCCGATGGCAGAGATAGGGCATAACTCTATTCATGGGGGACATAAGAGCAGATTGCGTCATAGGACTAGTAGTGCATTCCTGACAAAACTTCTTGAAGAGTTGCTCTCACGCTTTCAGAATGGCAGCCTTGCGTTCATCTCTGAAAGAGCGTCTGGAGGAATGTAGCTAGCACGGATCTGGTAGGGCAATGTAGCACAAAGAGCAGATGACGTCTGTGACTGATTGTCAGTCATACCATTGGAGCAGCATGACAGTCTTTCCATTTGACTATACTCCAGCCTCCTTGTTTTAGCACATCGGCCATAGTCTGCGATCTTGTTAGCACAAGCGCCTGGCTTGGGGCTGTGTCTGAACCCAGCTACACTCACGGTCAAGTTCTTTCTTTGTTGCATCATCGCCTACTTGCGGACTCGATGAGCCAGCTCCAACATCTGAGTCTCAAGCATAGCATAGGGCACAATGTACAGTATACTGCACACATCTCGTTGGAGTGTATCGTTGCGGGTGTGTTTTGTAGTTGGTGGGGAGGATGTTGATAAGCGATTTGGAGTAGAAGAGCTCCGTAGATAACTAACTTAGCCCAGATAGCGTAATGCGGCACGTCGGCAGATGCTCGGCGCGAAAGCCGCTTCCCCCGCAATCGCCTCAATCTCCCTGCCACCACCACCACCAACAACCATCTTCTTCTGCTCGCATTTCCATACACAACCACCATGGCATCCCTCCTCAAGAAACCATTGAAGCTTGCTCTCGTGCAACTAGCCTCGGGTAAGTAAAATCCACTCTCAAGATCCATAATCTACTTCCTAACTCCCACAACAACCAGGCGCCGATAAGGCCGTGAACCTCGCCCACGCTCGCAGCAAAGTCCTGGAGGCCGCCAAAGCCGGCGCCTCTCTCATCGTCCTTCCGGAATGCTTCAACTCCCCCTACGGCACCCAGTTCTTCCCTAAGTACGCTGAGACCCTGCTTCCATCGCCGCCCACCAAAGAACAATCCCCTTCCTACCATGCGCTCTCCGCCATCGCCGCCGAGGCCAAAGCCTACCTCGTTGGGGGCAGCATCCCGGAGCTGGAGCCCACCACCAACAAATACTACAACACCTCCCTGGTCTTCTCTCCCTCCGGAGCCCTCATCGGCACCCACCGCAAGACCCACCTCTTCGACATCGACATCCCCGGCAAGATCACTTTCAAGGAGAGCGAGGTCCTCAGTCCCGGCAACCAGCTGACCGTGGTCGACCTCCCGGACTACGGCAAGATCGGGCTCTCCATCTGCTACGACATCCGCTTCCCGGAGGCGGCCATGATCGCGGCCCGGAAGGGCGCCTTCCTGCTCGTGTACCCCGGCGCGTTCAACACGACCACCGGCCCGCTGCACTGGTCGCTGCTGGCTCGGGGCCGTGCCGTCGACAACCAGGTGTACACGGCCCTGTGCAGTCCGGCCAGGGACCTGGAGGCCTCGTACCATGCGTGGGGACACAGTCTGATCGTCGACCCCAGCGCGAAGGTGCTGGCCGAGACGGAGGAGAAGGAGGATATCATCTATGCGGATCTGGATGACGAGACCATCCAGAGTACGCGAAAGGGCATCCCTATCTACACCCAGCGGCGGTTTGACCTGTATCCGGACGTGAGTGCCGGGAGTCAGTAGAAATCTTCTCCACATTGAATGTTTTGGCGATAGCGGCGCTTGATTCTTTTTACACGACCAGAATAGACGAGTGATGAATTCTCAGGCTGGGCTTGCTATGTTTCCTTCCTTTGTAGTGAATGTCTACTGAAGGCGTATTCACAAGATAGGTTGCATACAGTAAGTGCCATACTGTTGTAGATCCTTCAATGGAGCTGTACCGGGTGAATAGACCATTGTTCGGTCCATGGCCTTTCATCCTCATGGCCATGTATAAACTCTTTCCCTCTCCCCGCCCAGATCTTCTTCAGAACAACCATCTCGGACCTCGTCAAGGCAGTCTCAGCCTAGGTTCCCTGATAACAATCTATACGACGCTTCAGGCAGTCCCAGAACAAGTTCCCTGACAACTTATACAATGCTTGATGTCTCAAGATACATCAAATCCTCGCCAGTTCTATCTGCATATATGCACCAACGGCAAGCCACATAAATTAAGACACATAGGCCCTCAAAAGCCGAGGCCTACTGCTTGAATTCCTGGATTCATTCCAGCGGGGCTCAGATAGCCCAACTTGCTATCTGATGTTGTCGACGAATTAGTCATTGGAGAAACCATAATGTTTTCTTCATGGAACACCAAAGGACGGGGGACCCGCAAACTCCGAATGTGGTCTTCGTTGGCAGCATTACTCTTCTTGATATCTCACATGGTTATGACGAAGAGCCAAACCTATTGAAAATGCCCTCATAGATTGGAAGAGACCCGAGACTTGGCCAGCTCTGGCCGGTCTTGCCACGCCGCACAGTTTTTGGTCATGTCGACTCAGCACAGACACAGCCTCAATTCATTCCATGATGATTGCGTCCTCTGTTTCTCTCGGAACATATCTTCTTTGGTCTGCAGGATGGATTAGCCGAGGGTCGACTTCCTAAATCATAGTCGAGATGATACCGATCCAGAGCTAGTCTCTCTGCTGGGCCTGGAAGGCTAGCAATGCCAGCCGACGAGACAAAGCTGCGCTACGGCTGCAAAGAGCACCCTACCCCGTGGTGATATATCTATGCCACTTAAGAAGCTATAGGATAAGACGAAACCAATTTCACAGTGTCGGCTTGCATGACGCACCCAATCATGGAAATCATATAGAAGAGCCGGAATTCACATTCGAAGTTCATCCGCGCTCAACGAGTGGAGAAAAACAAGACCTTAACGAGAGGCGGGACAGATTGAGAGGTTGGCGGGATATAAGAACCTCGATACCGGCAAACCGAATCAACTACCTACCCTTCGACGTGATCCGCAGTCCGGGACCTCGGTGCAGCGAACAACCTGTTGAGGAGATGGTCGACCTCCAGGGAGGCAGCTCTATGGAATACAAAGCCTGCTGAAGCCGAGATGCTTGGTAGGACTGATGGACTGTGACTCGCTGGACAAACTACGGACCGCGCACACCTGTCTCCTGTCTGGATCCCTGGTATACCCTGGGAGGGCTGCGGAGGGAAACGACCATTCGACTATTAGTCACTCCATCCCGAACGTGGTGAGAAGCTTACACCATAGCACGATGGCAGAACAACATACAGAGTACAGGATTCCATAGACGGTCGGCGACGTGTACTGCAAAAAGCAGCCATCCTCGACAGACACCCCGAGAATCCAGAGAGGGCTAACAAAATAGGGAAACTCTAAGACGTGATCCCTGCAACTATACAAGAAGCTGCCTACAAACATGATCCTATTTAATCAATAATCTTCAGCTTGAGGTCTCAGATACTCCCAGAATATCACACGCGGGTCAGAGAAAGTCAGCCCCAATGATGGGATCAGATCCAGCCGAGTCGACCCGTTTTAGCAACAGCAACAGATGTTGTCCCTACTATTCGACACAGAACGCCGGAAACACCCTCTACTCTGTACACAGCTACCAGTGACTTATCAGGTAGAGTGGCTCCTTCGCTGACTTCACGTACGAGCGAAGTCCGGGCACGGTTTGCAGTACCGCTCGACCATACAGAAAATATTCGATAAGGGGCTATCACTACCGACCTGGGAGTAGCTTACTCCTCCTTGCTTCGCAGTCCAGTCAGCTTTTCCCTGTTGCCTCGTGCTAGATCGGCGGATGGGAATCAGGTAGATAGAAATGGAGACTCCGGAGTTGGATTTTCAGGTTAGCTTGCAGGGGATCCACCCCCGCAATTTCATGTTGGTCCACATCGAGAAGATAGCAGAGAAGCCGAGTCGGGCAGGGCATCCCGGTGCATGAGAATGTGATATTCAGCGACTTGGCTGAATGGGGAAACAAACAGGAGTTGATATCAGCCAGGTCGAAGTAAGGCTGCTTACGGAGGTACTTTCTAGTGCTCATTTGTATATGAGATTCTTAGTGGATGGGGCCCTTCTACCAAGGTCATCTTGATATCAAAGTGGCTGGCCATAGGAAGGTATTTGTCGATTGGAAAGGCGTTATGCTACAAAATCAAAGAGGAAGGTAATTCAAAAGTTCTATCTTACCATCGCATGAACCCCGCTCGGTTCCGATCCGGCAAGTCATTCCGCAGTCCACCACTTTTAGCGCTTATGCTTGGGTTATCATGCTTGCATTAGCCCTAATAACAACAGAAATTTGACGAACTTGAGGGCTACACCTATACTATACATTGCTGAGAAGTACGCAAGTGATATGTACATGGTACGGGTGAAAGAAAGTATAGCTAGCTCTATTCGAACGTAAAAATCATCAACTTCGTCATGACTAAATGCATGCAATGCATGCATGCGTATGTGTATGTAGGGACTGTACGCCTGCTTGCTTTTTTTCCCCCCTCAAACAGAGTTGGAATTATCGGCACAGCTCCACGCCCCGGACTCGGAGGAGTCG